CTGCAGTACAGCGAGCGGCAGAGACACGCAGGCAGCAGGTGCAACACGACCGCATGATGCCCCCGAGCTGGGACTAGAGAGCGACGCGAGGATTTGACAATTCAGAAGCTATAAAGTTGCTTGTCTCGAGATATGGAGTCGCCTCACAAGGTTTGAGTCCAGTTGCAGCGGCACCCTCACCTGAACCATATATATGTCGTGCTGATTCTGTTTCCGACTTGGGTGCATTGTGTATAATAAGTCCAGGTCAACGAGTTTATAAGCTCTCCCGACGTCACCATTCACTTGCTGGGCTGATTTCCCGGGCCTAACAAACCTAGCATGAGACGATCTTTTCGATCTCTTTGCGCCCGCTGCCTGCGTGTCTCTGCTCGCTGTACTGCAGACGCTTGAGCTGACCTTGAATGCAGCTAGGCAGGCGCCCAATAGGCGCGCGAGCAACTGAGCGACCGACAAGAATTGAGCACCCCTTGAGTTTGGGTGACGCCGCCCATGTGACGAGAGGCGACGGGCGACGGGCGCCTCGTATTTGCGATGGCCTCTGACTCTAACCACGAGCCCAAAGTGCCCTTGCGGGTCTCCAACCTTAAGGCGTATGTGTGGGACGTCGAAGGTACGCGCGCGAGCTATCCGACTATGCAAGAGTCGCTGGCTGAGCGAGAGAAGGATAGATGTCGCCACCCTACGCGCGAAACACCATATTTGCGGCGTCCTCGCCGGAACGCTACCCCATCTCTCGCAACAAAATGTGTTCTTGGGGCTCCCGCTCGTGTTACTCCCGGAAGAAGTCGTTCTTCTGATGGAGAGACGTGCGTAGAGATCTGATATTGGTACCCTCTCGTGCTCCGTCTCTTACCGCCCTGTCCAGAGCTTGCCGTCCTAATCGATGACCCCAACGCCCACACACCCCCTTCTGCCGAGGCCCTCGCCCACTGGAACGCCGTCAGAGATTCCTCTGCAAGGCAGCAGATTGTTGCTGCAGAGACAGAGAGGCAGTCAGAAAAGGCGGCAAGACTGTCGAGTTCGGAGGACGCCATTCGCAAACGTCAAGAACGGGAGGCAAAGAGAGCAGCAGCGGCCCGTGCGAAGGCTCTGGCCGAAGGACTTGCCGTAGACGAGGTGCTACTACCGTCTCCTGCGTCTGCGCCGGTGGAGGACAGACCTGCGACTCTGAGCAAGAATCTGGTGCACACGTTCAACGTGACCATCCCGGCAAGCTCTTCGGAGCTTGTATGGTATGCGTCCGCCACATCCACATACTATACTCTCGAGACAGCGCGAGAGGCTGGCGTGTGGACCTACCCCGCCACCCCTTACGAGCGCGCCAAGTGTCGGGTCTACCAAGACCTCTGGGAAAAGGGAAGCTTCATGGGTGGTGGTATCAAGTTCGGTGGTGACTTCTTGGTCTATCCCGGTACGTCTGACTTGCGCGTTGTCATCGACGAGGGTCTCATCGAACGTTTGATCAGGAGACCCATTGCGCTACCACTCGCATTTTGTTGCGACCGTTGTCGAGTCTCCCGAGGCGACGTTGATGCCCATGGAGATCGTCGCGCACGGACGGCTCGGGACGGCTACGAAGAAATCACATCTGTTCTGCGAGTGGGACGAAGATAAGGAGCAGGTCACGTATTTTTCCGTTGAGTGGTCAGGATTTGGTTGACGTCGACATGCATTTATTCCACATCGTAATTCATCACCTTTGCTCCGTCTGCGTTTCTGGCACGTCTCCATCATGTGTCCGCATACTTCCTCGGCGTAGTACCAAGGCGGCCGAGTGCGAGATGGTCGAGAAGCACACGACGAATGTGCGGATTGAAATATTGGACACCGAGTGGGGAGCTCGTATATCCGATCTAGTGAGTACAGCACTCTCATTATGGTTGTTGCAGAACTGCTCATTGGCGCCGTCACTATTCTATGATGACAATGAAAGTGCATTCATCGAATTGCTCGGTCATGTGTCCTGGGTGCATATGTCACCATTCCCGCGTCACCATCGTTCACCTCGGTGTACGATGGTGTGTATTCAATTTTTTCGACCGTCTGCCTTCTGCACTGTGTTCGTCTCAAAACGATGGTTCAACCGCCCTTGGACAAAATCTCCTACATGTACACGGTAGCTGCAATAGACGTCTAGTCACTACGGGTCCTACAACATAATCAGTGATCTACACAAGCGAACGATGGTGACTACAAGCCGGTACACGAGAAGGATAGAGCAGATATAGTACAAGTTCCCCAAGTTCCCGCTCCAGAATCATCACGCTCACGTACAACCAAACTCCGCGCTCTGAAGACCATGCTAACAGTACCAGTCCCAGTGCCAAGCGTACAGATGTGCACGTCGCCACATCACCACCCGCGCTCCCTGAGCCCTTGAATACCAGAACACAGAACTAATGCCAACTCCCATCCCCAACTCCAGCTTAGAAGACAACCCTGTCCCGGTTGGACGTATCGTTGCGCCATCTCGGACGTCGGTTTAGACTCATCCGCGCGGAAATTGCGAAGGGGGAGGCGTATGTGTCGAGTCAGAGTATGTCCATCGCGGGCAAGTACTGGATGGCCGGACAGAGCATATCACCAGTTTCGAAGCTGCCGCCTTCAATCTACGTCGACGAAATACCTCTTATTGGCGACTCTCAACATGGGCTGGTCGAAGCCACCAGAAGTCGTCCAGAGAAAGGTCCGATCGATCGAAGTCGAGTCGATGCCGTCCACCTCTAAGATCGTGTAGAGGGTGTTACATGGTCGCAAAGCGGGAGTTGAGAAAGTGTCCAGATGCGACGCTGGGTGCGTACCCGTCCTCTGTTGATGCCCCGTCACCATACGATTCCTCTCTGTAAGAACCCGTAAGGCCAGACGTCGAAGCGACATCTTCCATTTTGGATTCCCTCCAGGCCGGGCTGGCGAGGAACTCCGAGATGCGCTTCATGTCTCCTAGCGTGAGTGACCTGGCGTAGGACGGTCCTATAGACAATCCGGTACGCTGCCGCTTCTCCTCAGGCTGACGAATAGGTTCATCAGGTTCGCGGCGGCGGGATTGTGACGAATAGGCCTCATCCACTCGGGAGCGCTTGCTCCCCAAGAAGGTAGGCTTCAAGGTCCATCAGCAAAAAAGCGAAAGAAATGGTCAGTTATGTCCGGCATCCGTCTTACACGGCCGGATTGGCGAGATATGGCAAAGGGATGGCGAAAACTGGTAGAGAATCGCCAGGTATGCTCTGCAATGGCCGGACCTTGCGGGGCGCCTGAACACTGACTGTCGGTCCTGGCTGAGCATCGGATCATTAGTTACCATAACGTAGAGGGCGTATGGCCGACAATGTACGTTTACGACTGCGCCAATGAACATCAATGGTAGGTAATTGGTGAGGATCCTGCTATAGAAGGACACACCCATGTTGAACAGGCGCTGGTTTACACAGCTTGCCTAACACAGCCGTCACAAGATATGGAACGGCACAGCCGGTTACTGCAATAACCGAGGCTGTACTACTCATGTGGTACACACACAGCTTTGCTGTGTACGCACTGCTTCTCTGTGCGACTGTGCATCCTGGGAAGGTACTGTATAGTACTACGTAGCCACAGATGTACAGTAGTATATATAGGGGACCTCTGTACCCCCAATCTACAGTTCAGTTCAC